ATTGCAATGCCTTCCTGACAGCCCCTTACGAGAAAGGCAGTGTGGGTTCTCCTGGCTATCTCCTCGCTTCTAGCCGCTGTTGTACTGCTGAGGACATCCGTGCTGAGGAGCAGCTCCCGCTCACTGGGACCAGTGCTGCAGACTTGCTCGTGCCCTCTGGGCTCCGGGCCGAGGAGAGCAGATTGCTTGTGCCCGCTCTGGGTCCAAGTCTCCTCTGATTGCCAGATGGCAACCACCAGTCATCTAGCACAATATTTCATTTCTTTTCTTTTTTTCTTTTCCTTTTTTTTTTTTTTTATTGCGAGTTCTTTTCCTAGTTGAAATTTCCTGAAATAATATGAGAGTTTTATCGCAGACTTCAAGAAATTGTTTAACACCCTTAGCATGACGTGAAAGAATATAGGCTGGTTATTGGGGAACGTGGCAGGACAAGGTAGTTTAAAGGCACAGAATCGGCTGGGCTGGAGTTGGAGAACTGAGTGGAAAGAAACAAACCTGGTATGATTTCACCTGTAATGCCCTTTTGAGCTGTTCCTGGCATTATAAGCCGTTTCTGCCTTGGAGAAGACTTGCCAGTTTTCTGCAAAGGAAAGCCTGAGAGCAAAGTAACGTACAGGCACTGTGGAAAATCCAAGATGAGAATTTAGGAGTGAGCTGGGAGGTGACATGATTTGACACTGCAAGTCTGCTTTCAAACAAAAAGTAACTGTAGCTTTATCTCCTTTCCATGCTTTCTGCAGTAGCTTACGCACAACTCCGCAAGTGCCAGGAATACTGGAGCTGGCTTCTTGTCATCTTGTTCCTGTCGCAGGGCTGCTAATCCATTATAAGGTCATCCAGGATTTGTGCTTTCAATTGGACGTGGTCATTCAAAAATTCCAAAGAGTTTAGTTTTGTCAGATGTGATTTGTTTGGTCTCCTTACGTTGTTAACCTGTTAACTCAGCTGGTTCAACATCTATGCATCACTTTGGATACTCTGGTCCAAGGTATTGCAATTTAATTCTGTTTGATTTTAATGGTGTTAAACCAATTTATAGCTGCTGGTAATTTGGTTGTGTGAGAATATGATCAAGTATGTTGTGTGTACGGTGGATTTTTTTATGTAATCAGATTAAGATAGAGTGCTATGAAATGGCACCTCTTTGAATCTACGGACAAGTTGGAGCTGATTATAAACTAGCTTTGGATTTCTGAAGGCATTGATTCCACTGAAATACTGAAAAACACACAATAGTTGCTGTCAGGACCTGAGGGAACAAAAATACCTTAATAGTCATGACCAGCTTCACCTGGGACCCCAACCTGCAGTCTCTGCCCATGGCCCCTTTGGCCTCGGCCCCACTTCTTGCCTGAGCCGTGTTGTAGCCAGGCCATCTCCAGCCTTGCTTCCTGCGGGCTGGGCTTCACGGCTGGAGCCTCGGCCTCTGCTGTAGCCCTGCATCCAGCCTTGTCTCCTGCTGTTTCTGGTGTGTCTTCCTGGAGACACTCTAGACCTGACTTGTCACCTCATCTTGTCACAGGACAGTTGGCTAAAGCAGTTATGTCACCGGCACTGCCTTACTGGGGTGCTGTGGGATGGCACCAGTGCTGGTGAGGACTTCCGCCACCTGCGCTGGGGTCACTGTTGGCTCCTGGCTTGTATTCCCCCATGGAGCAGCCCAGCTCTTGCTGGTCCCTGCCTGTTTCTCATGCTTCATGCTGCTGTTTGAGCCAGTCGAACGTCCCTGCCCACACTGCTTGTTCCTCTTCTGTGCCGGAGGAAGGTCGGTCAGCTTAGACTTTAGCTGCAGAAATTTTTTTAAAGAAGGGACTTCTTTAAGGTTTTTGCAATGTTTAGTGTAAGATCTTAGTAGAAAATCATGAAGCAAAAGGCTTGTTTTGATAGCTTTTCTCTGAATGCAGACTGGACTACTTAACCTTCCTTCAGCAGGCTGCCGGAGAATTTTGTGTGACTCTTTTTACCAAAGCTGGTGCTCTTTGAAGACTGTTAGACTTGTCCAATTACAATCTCCTGAGAAAGGCTGGGCGGGGGGTGGGGCAGAGATGGACATATGCTGCATTGCTTCTTCCTAAAGGCTATAAGTCACAAGGGGAAATTCAGTATGCGAAGCAGTCTGTAGAGTGTAATGAGAGTTTGCCTCAGGGCACAGATACTCATTGTTTCTTTGAAGAAATGGGTGTGATGTGAAAAGGGTGCTAGTCTAGAAATGTGTCTATTGGTAATAGCTTCCCCCCCCCTTTTTTTTTTTTTTTTTTAAGGTGTTGTTGTGGGAGAAACGAACCTTTTTTTTTTTTTTTCGTAGAAGAATGTAAAGGGATTTGAAATAATGAGTGACTACTTCCTTGTGCTCTGATCTGTAGGGTTGTTCCATATCGAGATCCCCTTGGCAACATTCAGGCTTTTTTAATTATTATTTATTTATTCTGGATTTAGTGAATAGAGGTCTTCCCCACTTTTTTTCCTCCTTCCCCTCCCTTGTTCCAGGATGGTCCAGGAGGTGATGTGGTGTCTGTGACACAAGGTTTACTTGGATTTTTCTTTAAAATATCATGTGAAACTGGTCTGTTCTCTGCTAGTACAATATAGAAAAGTATTGATAGAATCGTCACAGAATCATAGAATGGTTAGAGTTGGAAGGGACCTTAAAGATCTAGTTCCAACCGCCCTGCCAAGGGCAGGGACATCTTCAACTAGATCACATTGCTCAAAGCCCCCTCTAGCCTGGCCTTGAACACCTCCATGGGTGGGGCAACCTCAGCTTCTCTGGGCAACCTGGGCCAGTGTCTCACCACCCTCACAGTAAAGAATTTCTTCCTAATATCTAATCTAAATCTCACCCTTTCAGTTTAAAACCGTTACCCCTCGTCCTATCGCTCCACTTCCTCATCAAGAGTCCCTCCCCATCTCTCCTGTAGGCCCCTTTTAGGTACTGGGAAGGCCTGTAAGGTCTCCCCAGAGCCATCTCTTCTCCAGGCTGAACAACCCCAACTCTCTCACCCCGTCTTCATGGGAGAGGTGCTCCAGCCCTCTGGTCATCTTTGTGGTCTTCCTCTGGACTTGTTCCAACAGGTCCATGTCCTTCTTGTGTTGGGGGTCTCACGAGAGCAGAGTAGAGGGGCAGAATCTGCTCCCTCACCCTGCTGGCCATGCTACTTTTGATGCAGCCCAAGATGCAGTTGGCTTTCTGGGCTGCAAGCGTACATTGCCAGTTCATGTTGAGTTTCTCCTCAACCAGCACCCTTAACTCCTTCCCATCAGGGCTGCTCTCAGTCCATTCTCCACCTAGCCTTGGTGGCTTCGGATTGCCCTGGCCAATGTGCAGGACCTTGCATTTGGCCATGTTGAACTTCATGAGGTTTGCACAGGCCCACCTCTCAAGCCTGTCCAGGTCCCTTTGGGTATTATTCCCTTCCCTCCAGGATGTCAACCGCACTACACAGTTTGGTGTCATTGGCAAACTTGCTAAGGGTGCGCTCAATCCCACTGTCCATGTCACCGAAAAAGATGTCAAACGGCACCAGCCCCAGTCCCAGCCCATGAGGAATGCCCCTCGTCACTGGTCACCACTTGGACATCGAGCCATTGACTGCAACTCTTTGAGTGAGACTAATATCTCCTTGTAAATCTTTTGAAACATATGCATAATTTTTGCAAATAAGGTAATGTAAAAAAGTGCAATTGGAATAAGAATCATGGGGGAATGAGAGCTAGATAGTGATCTGAAGAATATGTATAAACACTTACAAGGCATGTGTTTATGTCTAAGACAGTTTATAAGCTCTCATTGACATATTGATGAAATAAGTAGAATGGTGTTTTTCCCTGTAGCTTTTCTATTTGCAGTTTATTTGGTTTATCAGGTATATAGAGGTATATATATTTATCAGGTATATATGACTAGTTCTGTGTATGGATATATATTTTGCAATTACATTTTTGCTATCATATCTCTAATATAAAATCTTGCATCAACTCTGTCTTAAACTGTCTTTAAATACTGGCATTAGCATTCTACCAGCAGCTGTTACACGGGGAGGCCTACTCCGGTGTCTTTTTTTCCCCTCCCCGTGTTTCTTCCATGAATTTCTCCATGGTTTGGAGATTTCTAAAGTTATGTAATAACAATTTTTCATTCTTTCTTCATTTTGCCATAGACTGGATATTTTTCATTTAAGGAACAGAAACCTTAAGTAAGAACTAAATGCTAATTTTAATTTTTTTTTTTTAGTGTGTCTCGGTAAATGTACCAAAACAAGTAAAAAGCTTCTTGTGGTAATACTCTGTTTGGTTCAGATATTGATATGCTATATCAGTAGCATCTCCTCTGATACCAGAAATCCTGTAAATGGCACTACTCTGGTACAATGAGAGCCTGGCTGTGTGGCAGACCTTGATCTTGTAGCTACTAGATCCTGTTTCTGTGCTGTGGATAGGGGGCTTACGTGTGTTGTTAAATGTGAGACAGTGGCGTTTCTGAAGTGTTTATAGTCTTTAGTCCTCAAGACCTAATGCTTTACACTATGATTGCCTCCTAACATACGTCTGAAACGAATTCACCCCTAATTTTGCAAAAGTTCAGTCCTGGTTTAAAGTCTGTCTTTATAAATTTTTTCTTTTTTTTTTTTTTAATTTCTTGAACGGGACCAAAATTGTGGTTGCTAATATTGCTAAAAAGTTGCTAACGCTGATTCAGCTCTGAACTTCACACTGTGTAGCCAATCATGATGCTCTTGAAAAGACTGTCGTTGACAATGTTGTGCCATTAAATTCACTTCTCATTCTTCTTTGTTTGAAATTCTTTAATGAACAAGGAAATATGTTGGGTCTGTACTCATCCATCTATTCAAAACTTGCATATTGATTTCAGAATACTTCAGTCCTGTGCTTGGAGGTATCGTTTGTCTAGTCATCCATCTATTCAAAACTTGCATTTCAGAATACTTCAATCCTGTGCTTGGAGGTATCGTTTGTCTAAATAGAGAACTTCTGTTTTTCAGACCTTACCTGTACGGAAGATTCCATGCAAAGCCAATGCTCCTTCAGGGTCTTTTTTTGCACGGGACAACACAGCAAATTTCTTATCCTGGTGCAGAGATGTAGGGGTGGATGATACCTGCTTGTTTGAGTCAGAAGGTTTGGGTATGTATTTGTTTACATAGCAGTTGGTAATTTTAAATAACTTCTCTTTTGTGTTTTGCATTGAAAGAGAGAGTGACTTTCTTAATAGATCCTGACTCCAAATCTGACCTCTGGCTGACTGTGTTAATTCTGCCCTTTATCTGAAGCATGAGCAAATAAAGTAGACATCACATAAAATTCATTTAGGTGAATTTTAAGAGGAGCTTAAATGAAACCAAAATTTTGCTATGATTTGTTGCACATGGATGATTTTTCACCCTACGCACACTTTTTTGATCATGGAATGCTGTTCCTTGGTTTGATATATAAGAAGGTGCTTTTCTGTTTGAGGAGAGTAGGGTACAAGTGCATGCTCAGTTTTGGCTGCAGACTTTTAGTTATTTGTCCAGACTCGGTGGATTGCTCAGGGCTCAAGAAAATATGAAATTTTTCTCTGCATCCTATAGTGACCTTCATATTCCAGCTGATTCACTAGCGCTTCAGGATGTTCCATCAAAAGAATTGGACTGCTTAGGCAATCACTGTTCTAATAGTGCATATTCTTCATTATTTTAACTCTTCTCTCTTCAAAGCAAAACTTAGGAATCTTACCTTGAGAGTTTGTTTCAGCCAAATAACATGAAATGAAGCGAATCAAATGTTTGTCTGAACTCAGATAAAAGTGTAAAGCAGTTGCGATGATAGACAGCTCAGTTTCTATGGAAGACAAATGAACACGCTGTACTGAATCAAGAGGCTTCTTTGTTCTGTTGCTCAAAAGGTCTTTGGCTGCCCAGTTGAAGTTCTTATCTGTGTTGCAACTGATCTATTCCCCTTCTTTTACAGTCTTGCACTTCTAGCACAACTATTTCTGAAGCAATTTTTTTCACTTGTCTGTTTATTTACCCTGTGAGGTTTTTATAAGTAAACTAAATGATTTTATATACCCAGGAGAAAATGCTTGGCAGAGAAGAAATTAGTATCACAAAGGTGACAAATAGTAAGGAGGATATATGTATTGTCTCTGTTTTGTTAATTAAATCCCCAACATGAAATTTTTATCAGACATGGTGAATCATGTGGACAATGAACAATAATGGTATTTCCAAAGATTTGAAATGATTGAGAAGTTGGACATTACCTAGGACAAGGAAACTTGCAAACACAAGAAGGAAGGAGACACAGACCTCCAATGTCTGAGATAAGCAGAAGAACCTGCGGTTAATCCAATGCTTAAATGAATTCAGACTTTGTGGTGCTGTAGTAAACTCAGCAGTATACCATTGTTCCAATAATAAGCTAACTGTGTAATCGAGAGCATGTTTATAACGAATTTTCTCGTGCATTGTTAAAAAAACAGATCCTGTTTAGAGATGGAATTGGCATAGCTGAAATACCGACATTCGCTGGATAAGTTAATTTTTACACATACACAGTGTGACACTGAGTGCAAATGCACCTGGAAAGCTGATGTTCAAGACAACTTCTTCTCTCCGAAAAGTGAAGTGAAATATGCCCAGGCACACAGTGCACAAACCAGATAGGGCTGTATTGGTTTAGTTTGATTAGTGACTGATTTTTTTTGCTGATTGAAAACTTGTTCTGGTTTTTTTTTTTTCCTTCTCTGAGTGTTACTGTTTATAGATGCCCATGTTGAAAAGATTTATGGTGCTGGAAATAGGATTAGGACTTGAAAAATAGGTCAAAAATATTATCTGTACATGAAAGGGAGATAGTGACCATGCCATTTGTAAAAAAAGATTAAAAATAGAAGCTACTATCTCCCTCGGTTTGAGCTAGAACTCTTAAAAGTTTTGATTTAATTTGTGGTTTTTCTAATGCATTAGAAATAACGATGAATCATCACAGTTGCCAGTCTAAAGCTTTTATGTTCCTCTCTCTCCCACAAATCACTTCTCCACTGCATAGGAAATAAAAATTCAGCAAAGGTAAGTAATGTCAAAGGTTCTATTTAAAGCGCTGAGAAACGTGCGTGAGTGACATCTAAGTGTTCACACTGCCTCATGGAAGTCTGCTGTATTTTTGATAATAAATAACTGTGGTGAAATGATGATTACAGAGGTAACTTGTTTTCATGTTTTCTTGTGCTTTTTTCCCCATGGCTGATAAACTGTATTGATGTGTAAATTGCTAGTGATAAAGTGACTATGTTCTCTCTATACTGAGGAACCTTACTATGTTAATGTTCTTAATTGATTTTATTTTTATCTATTTTACTGTATTCTGCCTGCCTTATTGTGTGTAAATATTCAATTAGATGCACATAGCGGTATTTTCCTCATGCCATTGTATCATATAAAACATTCTTGAGGCTTTTTTCGTGTAAATTGCTATTCTAACATTATAAGAGTAATTTTTAAGATTTATCATACTGAAACATTTGAATGATGGATTTATGACACTACTGATGTAAAAAAAAGTCCAAAGTCTATTCAGAGATCAGCAAAATCAGACATATACTAGCTAAGAAATTATTAATTGCTATTATTTCTAATTACTTAAAAATTACTTAAAAATATATTTTCATCCTGATGAGTTTTGGTCTTTGAAATCATGCAAGTATAACTGCATACCGATGCATCCAACACTCCCACATTTTTAGCACTGAAATTAAAGTCATATTGAAGGTATTCCTCACTGGGATGGAACTGTGTCAAACAGACACTATAGCAGATAGGTGCAGTCCATGCCTGAGGAGCTTGCAGGCAAGTGAGGTTAATGGGAATCTTGAGTGTTCTAATGTTCCTAGAAGCTTGGTTCTGCAAAGTGTTAACGTTCTAGGGCTGATCCAGATAAGCAAGTGAGTAAACTTACTGATGTCGCTCTTATGTCCTAGTTCATCACTTGTGAACTGATTTAATTATTTAAAGTTAAGCATGTGTTCAATTGCTTTGTTGGATTTGGGCTATCCAGCTGAGCTAAACAAAGAAACAGGATCAAAAATCTTTCTTCAAAATAAATGGAAAGAAAAAAAAAAAGTGCTATTTGTTATGGCTTCTAATCCATAGAGTTACTTTAAAGATCCTTGAAAGAGATCAGTACAGAACTCAAAGATTTGAAAACAGTGCACTTAGACTGCTAACTGCAAGTTA